TTGAGCAATGCCAGACTGAACTTCCCGACCTCAAACGTGGGCGGGACTAAGTTCGGAATGGCACCCAGGCTATTCATTTTACACCCCTGCAATTAAATCACCACATCCAAAATTAAAAATTGTTCAAATTTAGTTTGAACTTGGTGTAATTTAACGAAATATGAATCTGACCCCGATTTCTTTCATATTTTGGATTTTTATTCCCATATAGGCCAACTTACTCTGGTCAGCCATTAAACAAATAGCTTGCTGGTAGATATTGTCTAATGGACTCATATCAATAGAGTTCCTTACAGCAAACTTTATTTAAAACTTAAAATAACTTTAAAAAAGTTAAAAAATAAAATATGATTTATACAAAATCATAAAAAAAACCTGTAAGGGTCCTAAATGGCAGTGAGATGGACCAACAGAGCTTGTTGTCTGTTTAGTTCTAAAGGTTAAAAGAGCTGCATAACAAAAACCTAGTCTGCAATATTAAAACAAAGAAAAAACACCTCAATACATGCAGAAATGTTTTTCCCCATAAATGTCACTAAGTGGACTAATGTCTGTGATCTTTTTTTTTTTATATACATATATATACACACATTTTGTTTTACTCTTAACAAACCCACATAGGTCAAATTCACAAAAGAAATTATTTGTTTTATTTGAATTTCAAAATGGCTATTTCTTTATTTTTATTTTGAATATTTAGTGTAAACCATCCTTTGTCCTGTAGTTTGAGCAGTGGTATATTTATTGCAAAATATTTTTTTGTGTCAGCTTCTTTCTGTTTTTTAGGTTTATTAATAGATATATTATTTTGTTGATAAAAAACTGTTGTGCTAATTTTATATATATTTTCAGATTGCGGTTACTTGTTAATGTGTCATATAGAAACAGTCACAACTCTAGTATGTATATTTGCTGTATTCATTCCTGTTGTTAACTTACAGTATAATATAAGAACATTTGATTATTAGGCTTATATCCCTTCAGTGAAGGACAGTGCTTATGTATTATTACAGCTTTCTAAGCTATTTATTTTTTGTAAAGTGTTTAACTATAATTGTGTGATTACCATGACCAATGCAGCCATTCATTTTTGTTTATTTTGGTTTGTTAAATAATTGTCAAATAAACACATTTATGTTAACAAGTGATTCCTCTTATTTTTAAACAAAAATCCCTCATCCAGTAATGTGCAAGGTCTTGCTAAAGCATTTAAACCCCTTGAACCTTTTAGAGTTTAACATCATTACTGTGATATTTTAACAGTAGATTATGAATATATGATTAACTAGAACTGGATGTTGTAGTTTATTAATAAATCATTCAAAATCAAGGGTAAAACCAATTGAATGTTATTAGTTGAATGATTATAACTGTAATCTGTAATTACTCACCAGGATTCTTTGCCCATCACATCCCAGGCGGACTTCTGGACGGGCTTTTTAAAATCCAGTTATCTTCACCAACTTGGGCTATGGCTATCAGCAGAGTTATTAATCACCAACCAAACATAATTGTAAATTTATTCAAATGTCACCAAGAGGAGGGTGACTCTGACCTGAGTGATTAATCATTTGCTGCACAATAAACACAAACTACTATAGGTTCAAATAATGATGTTTTTATTTCTAACAATCAAGGATTATAGGAAGTCTAACAAATGCAAACACTACACACGACTAGCAAATAAATATTAGGTAGATTAAATGAATGATATGGAAAAAGGGATTTATCAAGATCCAATTTTGCGTGCTGTAATTTGCGCTC